ACACACACACACACACACACACACACACACACACACACTAAAACACAACAAACACACATTTTAGTCCACTAAAGATGCTCTTGTTAATTTCCGTCCACACTGTAGCTCACATACACACACACACTAGAGTTGGGCAATATTGGCAAAAAAATTAATCCCGATTAATTGTGGTATTTAGCCAAGAACGATTAATTTGACGATTAATCCCCTGGAGTCCCTGGACACCTTTATGTCCTGTCACATGACCAATTTAGTGGGAAAGATTTGCTCTTCATATAAATTTATTCTAAATTGTGTCAAAATTACAGACTTCATGCTTCAAATTTTAAATTGTGTTGATAAATAAATTACATAACTTTTTTTTATGTTCGTCATATTTGAAGCCTGCTGGCATTAATCATATTAATTGTCAAGTGCCAAAAAATAATCGATTCATGTTCTACTGACGATTAATTGCACACAATATGATAATGCCCAACCCTAACACACACACACACACACACACACACACACACACACACACACACACACACACACACACACACACACACACACACATATTTTTGTTGTTGTTTCCGCTCCCGAAGGAGTAAGACACTTCTTCCTTCTCTCCTGCCCTTCCTTATCTTTCCCTGCTTTGCTGCTTGGAGCCTTCTCTACATTTTTCATCCGAAATAAGAAATCATGGATATTTTTTTATTTTTATGGATTTGGTTAGCTGGACTCTCAATAAAATTCTTGGAACAAAGTTTTTTTTTCTTCCATGGGAGGACATGTTAAAGGTGGGACCTCTGTTCTGGATATATATTTGGACTCTGATCACTGGATTCTACAGATTGGCTTGGTGGTCTCCTGGTGTTCTGCAAATCACCGTCGGTGGCTTTTCATCTCCTGGCTGACTGAACAACTTGATGGGTGGCCATATTCTATCAGAACTCTGACATTTTGCCTTGAGCGAAGCTGGACTCGGTCTGCAAGCGGTTCTATTGAGGGTCGCGGACCGGCTGTGGTCCCTGGACTTTGCTGGCCAGATGGAATTGATCTGGGAGGAAGCTGAAGAATCGGCTCGGCAGATTTTGTCCACACCATTTTGCCTGATTGAAATCGCCACCTTGAGATGCACCAGCAGGAACTCTAAAGCAGATGGAAAATTGTTGTCTGCTTGTCTCTTCTGTTCCAAAACAACTGATTACAGAATCTGGATCTCCCCGACAATGGCCTCGGATCTGTTGACTAAATTCTTCCTGGATGGATGTGTCGACAAAGGCTCTGCCCCCCACCTTCCCCCCTCCTCTCACCCGTCTAATTCTGTTTTTCCAGAGCAGGCTGAAAGCTGCACAGAAATGAACAGTTCCATTAAAATTTTTATTTTTTGTCACTTCAGTAGAAAACGAAACCAAATATTATTAGTTTATTTAGTTTATTTATTTCTTCATCATCAGTGACTTATTTTTTTTTTGGTTTAATAAACAAATATAGTCCCTTCAAATTACAACAGCTTTCCCTTTTAACAAAAATACATTGGATGTTAGAAGGTAACACATTTTTATGAGCTTTATACATAACCTGCAGAATATGATATTCAACCAACTCATCAAATTTTAATATATATATATTTTTTAATTTTCTGTTCCTCCACAGAAAACTGTGGACTGCATGACGACCATGTCCGTTCCCTCCACGCTGGTAAAATGCCTCTACCTGTTCTTTGACCTGCCCCTCATGGCCGAAGCGCCCGTGGCCCCCCCGGCCCCCCCGCCCCCACCCAACCAGGAGAAGGCTCTGGGCCAGGGCCACACCCAGCCGGAGCTGCCCCTGGGTGACCGCAGGGCTCTGCTGCAGAAAGTCTTTGTCCAGGTGAGCCTCTGTTACAGGTGTTCTGAATCACTTTGATGATGTTAAATCCTGCGGGTTTGAAGAGTTTTCTCTTCATTAACGCCACTTTCAGACGACGTCATCGCTTTGATCTCTAAGATGAGAGGCTTCAGTTTCAAAGCAGCTGAATTCTCTTCTGTTTCCGTTCTCGTGCAGATCCTGGTGAAGCTGTGCACCTTCGTGTCCCCTGCAGAGGAGCTGGCCCAGAAGGACGACCTTCAGCTGCTGTTCAGTGCCATCACCTCCTGGTGCCCCCCCCACAACCTGCCCTGGAGGAGGAGCGCAGGGGAGGTGCTCACCACCATCTCCAGGCACGGCCTCAGCGTCAACGTGGTCAAATACATCCACGGTACGAACAACACGTAGCTGGGCCACGTGCTCGCTGGACCGGGTCGGCTGCTCTAAACTGCTGTGAAATGAGACGGTCCAGCCTTCGTCTGACGTCGGCTTCACGTGGCTTTGTGTGACCACGTGTGACCCCATTAGTGATCAGTTTCATGTCAGACTCAACATGTGTCGGGACATGAATTTACACGTCTTTTTACTAAAAGAATAACTTCACAGTTAAAACATTACACGTAAATAAATAATAATAAAAAATACATTAATTAAGTTTTGCTCCAGTATCTATGACAGAGTATTAGAACCACACAAAGTTGTTTTTAATTATTACGACAATAAAGTCTTAATATTATAAGATTAACGTTGTTATTTTATGAGAAGAAAGTCTTAATATTATGAGAAAAAGTATTAATCTTACATGTTGTGTCCATTTTCCTTTAATTTCCTTCTTATTTTCCTCACACCTGCTGTGTGCAGCCATGTGTCTGTGTTTATAAAGTAGTCTTTGATGAACTGGATCACTCTTAGATTAATATGATTTCGTCCAAATTAACTATGCGACGACTAACTCCTAATTTACACTACATGCGTTCCGTCTCCACTCTGCTCTGGTCCGACCTCCGCAGCAAATACACACCCATTATAACCAATGAGAGTGCGCACGGCGGCGCAGGGCTGATGGCAATCCGGCAAAATTAGATCTGATCCTATTTCTGCCGGACACCGGAGCTGCGCCGGGGTCAATTTTTAAAGGTTACGTCGCACCAACAGGAAAAGAAACGAGCACAACATCCGTATTTTCAAAATAAGATGTTTTTAGGCGTAATAATTTGTCGGAATAATGTCGAAATCCCAGCTATATTAATCAATATATGGATATATTTCTACACAAATGCTGTCAGAATGTATTGTTCTGTTTGGGAAGCAGATAAAAACATGTAGATGATGCATATGTGTACACACACGATACACATGGATTTTATTTTGAAATCAGAAGTTTAAAAAAAGACGACAGCGATACAGTTTCAACCATAGATATCAAAAGCTTTTATATCAATGTTTTCAGCTGTGTTTGGAGTTCGTCTTTCACAGAATTAATTATTTTTTGCTCTGACTTCCACACTTATCACTGAATTTATCACACGATCTCCTTCCTCCACACGCTTCCTCCTCTGTGTCGCACCGGAGTGGAACGAAGCGGAGGCTGTGTAAATTGAGACACGAACAGCTGCGACCTGCGCACCGCAGCGGAGCGGAGACGCGTGTAGTGTAAATCCGGGTTAAATCTGTCAGTGCATCCATTAATTACAAGCTTCAGTTTATAGTTGTTTGCACAATATCCATGTCCTGCTGCTGATAATTTGATGCTAATGTGCTAAAAGATTAGATATTTATTTTTAAGCAAAACTAAAAAACAACTTGACAACATTCCTCATTTTAATGCAGTGATAACTGCATGCTGTAAAGACTAGAATATTATGACTTTTTTTCACGTAATATTACGACTTTAATCTTATTATGAATGTATTTTCCTAACTTACAGTTGCATTTCTTTTATTTAACATCATATTGAAGCATAAATTCATCAGCTAAGTTGCTAAACTTACTTTTAAAAACAAATCCTTTGGTCCGTGGTGAATTTCCAAACTACGCCAACTCATTAATGTATGCAGTAATGTATGCATCTGACACTCATGAGGACCCAGACCATGAACTGAGACACAGCCAAAGTGGGATACACAGAGAAGACATTAAAAAACAGAAATAAAATAACCGTAGTTGTCTTGAACCCGTTGGTTGAAGCTGCTGATCTGTAGTTTTGACTTGGAACCGGGATGTAGCTGCGTGTTTGGTTTGTGCCGTCACTCATGACTTTACGTCTGTTTCTCCACATTTCCTCTCTTCCAGAGAAGGATTGTTTGTCCACATGTGTTCAGAACATGCAGCAGTCAGATGACCTGTCCCCTCTGGAGATCGTGGAGATGTTTGCCGGCCTCTCCTGCTTCCTCAAAGACTCCAGCGACGTGTCGCAGACCCTGCTGGATGATTTCCGGATGTGCCAGGGTTACGCTTTCCTCTGCGACCTCATGCTCAGGTAGTTTCACTTCCTGCAGCTCCTAAACATCTTGTTTTTTTCATGTATGAACATTGAAACGACTCGCTCCTGTTTCCAGACTGGAGCTGGCCAAGGAGGAGGAGTCCAAAGACGCCCTGAAGGACCTGGTCAACCTGGTCACCTGCCTGTGCACGTACGGGGTGATGGAGCTGAAACCTGCTGGGCTGACAACCGGAGCCCCCTTCCTGCTGCCGGGATTTATTCTCCCTCAGCCAGCTGGCAAAGGTTTGATGATCTTACTGTGAAATGGGAATTATTATGTTAGTGTTCATTAATGATAATTTTATTTATTGAAAAGGTACAGTGAGTCATGTAGACCAGGGGTGTTAAACTCAGTTTCACTGAGGCCACATGAGCGTTATGGCTGTAATTAACTTGGACTAAACCAGGAATGTCCAAAGTGTGGCCCCTGACTTCAGTTCAAGAATTATACTAATTTGTTTACAAATTTGTTCCCCCCGGCACAGGTAAGTAAATAAATAAATAAATAAATAAATATAATATAATATAATATTCACAAAGTAAAATCTTATAATAAAAAATATTGGCAACAATACCAATCATTCGTCTTTAAATAACCAGACTCTTAGCTTTTTCCACGTCTATGACTTCTACTCAAAAGCTGATTTTGCTGCACTTCAATCTGCTTTAAATTATAAAACAAATTTGTCTAAATGCAGCAAGCATTTTCAACAAAAGAGTGGCATAAATCCTGATTTTATTGATCAAAATGGCTAAACTGGGTTATTTTTTTCTCCAATTGAAACCTAGAAAATTGCAAAATTTCTTTCAACCTGCAAAACACTTTTAAAGTTCTCGATCTGGATTAATGTACGTGTCCTTTTTCCAGTAATAAATCTGACTACTTTTATGTTTAATTAAAGTATTCAATGCTTAGTTTATTGTTGAGCAGGTAAAAGAAAAATGTTTTTGGCCTTCAAGTCCTTCTGACTTTGATTTTGGCCCATGTGACAAAATGTTTGGACAGCCCTGGACTAAACGTCTCATTTCTAAGCACAGCTGACAAACAATAAGTGAGCTCTACCTGGTGTTTCCTGCATAGAAACAGTGTTTTAACACGTCCTCTTATAAACACTGAAAAATACTACTGACTAAATGTGAAGTAAATAAAACAGAAATACTATTAAAAGAAAAAGTAAGAGAGTTTTACTCACAGTTGAGTAAACTCTCCCACTTTCCTACAGGGAATTCCCACTGGAAGGGCAGTTTAAATTGACTTGTAACTGACTTGTTACTGGGGAAATTCCCACTTCCCAGTACAACTGGACCGCAGCAAAAGTAGCGAACAAAAATACGGCTACATGGAGATTTGACACTGTGATTTTAGCTACTTTTTGAACCCTGTGCAGCTCCACCTAGTGGTGGGAGGCAGTCACATGCATTGTGGGAGATGTAGTTTACGGTCAATGCTGGATTTAAAGCAGCTTGAAATCAATTGAAATCAGCTCTCATTACTAAAGAGAATAAATAGTTTTGCTACATTCCTGCTTTTTGTTTTTCTGTTAGCTGTAGTTTGTTGTATATTCAGAACTTAAACACATATGTTTGTTTTTCTGTTAGCTGTAGTTTGTTGTACTTTCAGAACTTTAACATATTTCACTGCAGATATCTCCACCTGACAGATCAAGGTGTCACAAAAGCTGCATTCTTTGATTTTTTTTTTCTCTCCATGCTGGTTTTCTGGTGAACATTAAGCAGAACTTCCTCTAATCAGGTGTTTGGAACTAATTTCCTGCCACAAATGGATGATTTTTTATTTATTTAAATCATCATTTCTGATGTAACTCTTACATCTTGTGACTATCAGTTCCCTCAGCGCTGTGCAGCAGACAGGAATCATTTCTTGTTTCTGTCGTCTCGCAGCCTGATCTTAATCTCTGAAATGACTTGGATGCTCGGCTGATCCCGGCAGCACCGCCTGTTGACAGTCGCTGTGGTAACGCTGCTGCTCGTCACCATGAACCCGGTGAATACAGATGTGTTCTGATGCAGAGCTGGTTCTGTTGTTGACACAATTGTCACGTTTACCTCCTGAACCTGTCCGGTGTGACCTTTTGTGTCTTAGTTTCCAGCATCAGCAGGTTCTGCCTCACTTTTGATTTTAAAAATGCGCAAATACATCTTTTCACACTAAAAATGACAGACTTTAAATATTTACACTTTGGTTTTCCGGCATTCTGGACCAGGAAAAGCCTGTTTAGTTCGTGTGTGAGCACAGAGAGATGCTAACAGGATGTTTGAGTGACAGTTCTGTGTGCAGTGGTTTGGTGGGGAGGAGGGGGTCTGCTTACACGCCTAATTAACCTGACACATTCTCTTTAGGGGGGCTGCCCTCTGCGGATTAAACATTTCAGAGTCAGTTTTCTCATGGTGATATTTTCTGTTTGAACACTGACGTCACATCAACTCTTAAATGGAGTTTATAGATACAGTGTAGAGCAGGGGTGCCCAAGCTTTTTCCCAGAGAGGGACAAAATTAACTTCTATCTGAGGGACAAATTGAATAATAATTTTATAATAATTATTAATTGATAATAATAACAATTGAATAATAATTATTAATTGATAATAATTGAATAACTTAAAACATGAAATATGTTTAACAGCCAAAGCAGTGGACCATGTTTTATTTATTTATTTATTTATTTATTTGTGGTTTTTATTTAGAAAGTGCCCCTGGAAAACATTTGATGTAAGCTTGGGCAGCAAAGACTCATGGGACATTTCATAAATTGATAAAATATGAGTTTTTGTGGTCGTTTAAAGCTGAGATTCTCAAACTGGGGTCTGCGAGCCATGTCTTGGGAGCGTTCAAAAAATGTCAATAAATTGTTAATTTGTTTTTAATTTTAATAATTGCATATAGGGAACGATGCACTAGTAAAACAAAGACACTAAACCAAACAAAAGTCATATTCTTATGGCATTTAAGGGTTAAAATATTGGTTTAAAATGGGGTTCATGAGAGGTCCCTGGAATTTTTTCACCCTTGTAATGGGGACCCCAGACCCAAACAGTTTGTGAACCCCTGATAAAGTATAAAAATCTGCAGGTGGGCCAAATGAAATGGCTTGGAGGCCAGTTCTGGCCCACAGGCCCCACTTTGGGCACCTTTAGTGTAGAGAGAGAAACAACAGATTTAACTCATTCTGCTGACAAATAATCAGAAACTCTGACTGGTCTGCAGCTCGTTCTATAAACTCAAACATCTGTGAGGGTTCTCAGTAGCTTTAATGATGGACAGGAAGTCAAATATCTGAGGAGGAAACTTGTTTTTGGCAGAAACTAAAGATTTGCAGACGTGATGATTATTGTCTGGTTTTCATCAGGATGTTTGTTCTTATTAAAGTTGATTAAAACTCAGATTCATCAGTCCAACAGATGTTTGGACGATGTTTAAAAACCCAACAAGATAAACAAGCTTGTTTTCCTGTCGAAGAATTTATCGTCTTCATCTGGAAGGAATATTATCCCCTTTTCTTCTTCTTCTGATTTTATATTGAGACGTTGTAGTTTTTGGATTATTGATTCATTTCTTTAGTTTTGGATGTGCCAAATCACTCAGAAACAAAACAACAGCAGAGTTTTATTTATTTATTTATTTATTTATTTATGGAAGCACACATGTTTGCTGGAGATCATTTTTATAGTTTAGTTTTTGTTTTACTTTGTATTTGTTGTTTCACATTTAGCTGAGTGTAAGACAGGTAAACACTGGGAAAAGGCCAGTCTGTGTTTCCCTCCTCACCATTTTAGTTGTTATGACCCCCGCATGCGATGTCATATTGTTTTTGTACTGTTTATTTATTTATTTTATTTTTTATTTTTTCAGTGATTTTTGGTCAACCGTAGCACAAAAACAGCTGCACCGGTCAACATGAAATTTGTCAGGACTGTAGATGAGTCTGACCTACACTGCACCAGCCAACGGTTTTACAATACACCCCATATTTGAGGAGGGGGCTCCTTTTAAAGAGGGGGTGTCAGACATGCAAAAATGATTATAGCTCAAAAATTATTAAACATAGGAGCTTCAGATTTATTTTGTTGTTTAGCTCTGATGAGGGGCTATCCATCAGTTCCCCCCCCCCACACACACACACACACACACAAAAAAAAGACCCCCACCCAAACCATTACAATTTTGGGATGCACAAAGTAGCATGACGTTTATTAGGAATAAAGACTTCTGAGTTCTGGTGCAGCGTGTGGGGGTCATTATGTTACCGCTATGCGGTGTCTAGTTTTGTATCTAATAGTTTTTCTCTGTGGTTTTCTCAGGTCCCGCTCTTTGTTTTTTTTAAACCTTTAGATTTTTTTCCCACCAGAGTGATGCGGCTCTGCTAACATGTCGACTCGCTCTCCTCCCCTCCCTGCAGGTCACACGGTGCGGAACATCCAGGCCTTCGCCGTGCTGCAGAACGCCTTCCTGCGGACTAAAACCAGCCGGCTGGCCCGCATGCTGCTGGACGCCATCGGGAACATCTACGCCGCCGAGCCGGCCAACTACTTCATCCTGGAGTCGCAGCACACCCTGTCGCAGTTCGCCGAGCGCGTGGCCAAGCTGCCCGAAGCCCAGGCCAAGTACTTCGAGCTGCTGGAGTTCGTGGTGTTCGGCCTGAACTACGTGCCGTGCAAGGAGCTGTTCAGCGTCAGCGTGCTGCTGAAGGCCAGCACGTCGCTGCCCTGCAGCGTCACCGCCGTGAGGATGCTGCTGAAGCTGACCCGGCACGACCCCGTGTTCAGCGACGTGCTGCGGGAGGTGGGCCTGCTGGAGGTGCTGGTCAACCTGCTGCACAAATACGCCGCCATGCTCAAAGACCCGGCCTCGCAGCAGCAGCAACCGCACAATAACGACCAGGGTGAGCGTGTTTTTACTAATGAACGTGTTTGTGTTCAGGCAACAAATGCAGCTCTGCAGACTGAACCAGCTCTATATTATTTATTTGTTTCAGCCGACTGTAAAAACAACACAGTAGCAGAGGAGCAGAAACAGCTGGCCTGGCTGGTGATGGAGACACTGACGGTGCTGCTGCAGGGCTCCAGCACCACCAACACTAACGCAGGTAAACACGCTCACACACAGTTTACTACAACCAGGGTGAGTTTGTATGGAGCACCAAAACTAACATAATTAGAAATAAAATCAGAAATATATAAAAGGACCAATAAATAAATAAATAAATACACTTAAAATGCAACAATTACATTAAAATGAGAACTTTACCTGATGATTTATAATTTAACTGACCTTCATATTTATTTTTCCAGCTTAGTTCCAATAAATTCTATAGTATAGGTCAGGGCTTCTTAACCTTTTTGACCTCGGGGCCCAATGTGTTGAACATCAAGTGGCACGAGGTCCAGTTAGACATTACCAATGTATGGATCAAAATGATAATTATTATAAATCTTGGTTTAATTTTTATTGTATTTGCTTTATAACTAAACTATCATAACTAACATAACTAAATTTAATACACTTACAGTTTAAAAGTAAAACTCCTGTCAAATAATCACAAGACATGATTATGACAAACATTTTTATATTGTAACCTGCCCAAAACAATTATTTGAACAAATACCAAACTAGAAGTTAAAATGTTAAGCTTAGGTTTAGCTTTAGCTTCCGACATTTTTTTGGTCAATTTAGCTTTTCAACGTTAACAAACTAGGAAATTTGTGTAGCGGTTTAGATGTTGTGAAGCTAATATTTTGGTTAGCTGTGCCCACTACTGTTTGTTAGCATCATTCCAGTATCTTTACCCACTTCTTCCTCTCTCAAAGAGGGTCAGTGGTTTCCAGGTCCAGCAGTCATTGTGCGAGGGGCGGGGCTACACATGCATGTTTTTTCATCAAACTGTTTGTAGATTGACACGATGGACATGTTAAGTGTTTGTCTCCTCCTCTCAGCTTTGTTCAGGGAGTTCGGCGGCGCACGCTGCGTTCACAACATCGTGAAGTACCGTCAGTGTCGGGAACACGCCCTGCTCATCATCCAGCAGCTCGTCCTGTCGCCCAGCGGTGACGACGACATGGGCACGCTGCTGGGCCTCATGCACTCTGCACCGCCCAGCGAGCTGCAGCTGAAAACGGACATTCTGAGGGTAACAACACAAACCGTCTGTCCTGTTGGACCACACCATCACCCAGAACCTTACTCTCCTGGGATTTAATTAAACTGTCAAGTTCAGGTTTTGACCTTGATTTGAATGCTTATCAAATATTCAACTCCTGAAATTATCTATTTTTCTTCCATACATTTTCTTCCATACTTCCATACGTTTTTCTTCCATACATTTTTATTCTATAGATTTTTATTTCATACATTTTTATTCCATTCATTTTTCTTCCATATGTTTTTATTCCATACATTTTTTTGGCACATATCTCGTTCCACATTTTTTATACTATTTCCATGTCATATATCAAACCGTTCAGCTCCTTTGTGATATTCTAACTAAAACTTTTGGTATTTCATTAAACTTAAGCTTTTACAGGTTTTAGCTTTTTTGGCAACTTTTTTCTCATTGAAAATGAAAGGAGCTGTCTTCAGTATCTTTAAAACCCTTGTTTCTAAATCTTTACTGTACTTTTAATTTTTCATGCTTGTTCTGCTTCTTTCTGCTAGTTTCAGCTGTTGTTGTGGTTTTAGCTATTTTCAATTAATTTGAGCTTTTTTCAGCTAAATTCACCTTTGTGACAATTTTGACTTCTTGCTGCTTAATTCAGCAAACATATGCTTTCTCTTTCTTTGTGTTAATTTTAGCTAATTTTTAAGTTTTTTTTAATCAAAACTTGCAGCTTTTTTGTTATTTTCTACTTTTTCTGCCTATATGAGTTTTTAAACTGTTTTTATCATCTGTCTATGAAATCCATCTTGTTTCTTTTATTTTTAGTTATATTTCTGCTTTCGACACATTTTTGTTTTTTTATATCGATTTTTCACTTATTTTCTTTTATTCGTACTTACAGCAAACATCAGCTGTTCAAATTGAACTCATTTTCAGCATCTTAGCAGCTTTTAGCAAAAATAAAAAATAAGCGTTCACACTTCATTTTCACAGGAAATGCAAGTTGTTTAATTTTAGAATATTTCTCATGTGAAAATCTGTCTGCACCAGGAGCTGGGTTCAGTAAACTCCAGTGAGCACACCGAGCAGAGAAAGTCAGTGAATTCAAAAATCAATAGATATTTCTGTAGCCTTGCTCACAGTAATTGCTTCAAAGCAGGATCTTGCAGGGTTAGGTGCACGTAAAAGCTTGTAGTGCACTCTCTCACAGGATGAGAGGCCGGCTCATTTTCTCAGGCGTAATTGCATTTTTAAGTTCCCCTCCTTCAGATCAAGTTAATCTCCTGCCTTCAGGAGGCTTTGACTGGATTATTTATTCTATTTCACTAATCTTGGATTTTACATTTTGCCATATAAGGGTGTGCAGACACTTTCATCCAATTTAGTTGATTAGAATAATTTTTCCTCAACTTTTCCTCTGAGCACAGTGAGATTTAACTGATCTGTTCCTGAAGGCCTCCTGTTGGAGCACAGCTGCAGCCTGCTGGTAATTCCCCAACATGAAGAACAGGAAGAAAACGTCTCCACCATCCTGTGACCGCTCTCACAAAACTTTGCTGACTTTGCTGTAATACAGCAGGAAACAGCTGATCTGTGTTGCAACAAATCACTGTTTAACTTCCCTTTATTCATTCATCTTCAGCTGGTACAGATTCAGACTTTTTTCGGTTATTTTCTCAAATTATTTCACCTTTTATATCAAAATCAACAAATATGGGATTAAATAACATTTCATGACAGTTTAAATTATTTATTTAGTCTTTTTCAGGCATCAGTAAAAATTAACAAAACTCTGGCTAAAAGCTATAAATGGCAGAGCAGTAGCTAAAAGGTAAATGTGGCTAAAATCAGCAAATTGAATGCTAAAGCTAAAAGTAACAAGACAGCAGTTGAAATTAGCTTAAAGTAGTAAAACAAATGCTAAAATTAGGATAAGCAAATTAGTTAAATTGGCTAAACTGTAGCTAAAAGCAATAAGTGGTAGAACGGTAGCTAAAAGGCAAATGTGGCTTAAAAGTAGCTAAAATTAGCTCAGCATATGCTAATGTTAAAACCAGCAAGGCAGGAGTTGAAATTAGTCAAACACTGCGTTAAAGTAGCTAAAACAGATGCTAGAATTAGGATAAGCTAATTATTAAATTAGCTAAACTGTAGCTAAAAGCTATGAGTGGCTGAACAGTAGCTGAAAGGTAAATGTGGCTCAACAGTAGCTAAAATTAGCAAAACTTTTATGAAGTTAATACTTGCAAGATAGCAGTTGAAAATAGCCAAATAGTATCTTAAAGTAGCAAAGCAGATGCTAACATTAAAATAAGCAATATAGTTGTTAAATTAGCTAAACTGTAGCTAAAACTGTTAGTGGCAGAACTGTAGCTAAAAGCTAAAAGTGACAGAACATTATCAAAATAATAATATATCAAACTTATACAGTGCTTTTTTAGAACACTAAAAGACACTTTATGGTTTCTTTAAGCTACATTGTAGCCACAGCTGCCCAGGGGGCGGGGCTTTTATGCACTGACGCCACAGGAGCCTCTGACCACCACCAGCATGTATATGTGTGTATATA